GGCGAGCACACCTGCCCGAGCTTCTGGTAAATGACTCCGAACTTGAAGTTATTGCTGATCACATGCTCGTCAAAGGTGACGATGAGGCGGGAAGCCTGGGTGGAGAAGTGGGGAGAGGCTGTCTTTTCAGGTTGCCATGTCTTGAGCTCTGATGATGTGGCAAGCATGGTGCCAGGCCCTGTAAGAGCCTCGCCCATTTAATCCTCACCACAAGCACATGGGCAGGCACCCCTACTGCTCCCATTTCACAGATGGAGAAGCCAAGATTCAGAAAGCTGGAATAGCTTGCCTGCGGTCAAGAGTCTGCAAGTGAGAGCCGGGACTTGAAGTGGGCTTGTTGTATGCCAAAGCTTAAGCTCACTGCCCAGGAGTTTTCCTAGGAGCACCCCCATTCCACTCTGTGACACCAAACTTGCTCCTTGTACTTTAAAACTCACTGCATCCTTCTAAATAGGTCAAATCTTACCATCTCCCTGTGAGCCTTCAGCAACAATTTCCTCTTCCTTAACCAACAGACAGAATATGATTTCCAAGGCTCCTACCTTTCTTTAGGGGACCTTTCCTGGACCACACCACCCCTCAGGGATCTCATCCAGCTCTAGAATTCAGACAAAAAGGCCACATGTCTTTCAAGCCCACTTCTTCCAGGAAGTTCTCTTGGTTCATCAGAGACAGAAGAGCCTGCTTCTTCACCCTCATCATCACGACACCCCAAAACTAGCAGCCGGCACTGGAAGTGAAGTGCAGCTGCTACCACAGGAAGCATTTATGGGGTTCCTGGTCTCTTCTAGCATCACAGGGCAAGGCCAGTGGAGAAGAGACGTCTCCCAGGAAAGGCCCCTTTGTCTCCAGAGGGTTTCCAAGTGGCATTACAACTTGCCAGCCTGGCCCCGTGGCTAACAGACAGATGCTGAGGTTTGAATGCTGCCTCTCTCCTTGTCTGTTGCATGTCCCTGAAGATTTCCCTGGGCCACTATTTCTCTTCTGCAAATTGTGGGCTTTGTAGGGTTATGGTGAGGATTAAATGAGAAAATTTAGGAAAAATGCTCAGTACTCAGCTGGTACTCAATTCATGTTTAGTCATCCCCCTCCCCATTCTCTAGTTCCCCCCTTCAGTGGGTAGGGCCCAGAGGCAGCCATACCTTGGGGTACAGCACAGGGTAGAACCGATCCACATTCACATCTTCACACACCAGCTGCAGGAGGAGATAAAGGCAAGGCCTGAGTGGGGGCCAGGGAGCGCTGGGAGTGATGGTCATAGGTCTGGGGCAAGACTACAGCAGAAAGGCCAAGGGAGGAGACACACTGGGGACAGGCAATGCTGAAATGGGACCTCACTGCTACTCAGAATGGGGTGCAGAGAGATCTGAGGTCTCTCACTATCTGGGAACACTTATAAGAGTGCCCCAAACAGGTAAATAGGAGGCACCTATGAGAACCCAGAGCACACTGAGGACATGAGACAGGCCCACCCACAGAGGACTGCTGCCCCAGGGCTAGGAGCTGGAGGCAAAGCTGAAGGCAAGCTGTGTGCCCCCCTAGGGTACCCAGAGGGGACGCAGCACGTGGGGGTGGGGACCCTGACATAGATGGTGGGAGTGGCAGAGGCCTCACCTTTGCCATCTGAACCACATTGGGGAACTCTGTGAGGCAGGAGATGGGGATGACGTCGTGGTACGTCCGGCACTTGGTTCTGTGAGGAGAAAGATAGTGAGGAGCAGTGTGGTGGGACAGGGGATTAGAGCCCACTGCACAAAGCCTGGAGGGGACAGACAACGGGCAGGGCCACACAGGATGACAGAGCCTGGGCCTGGCTAGGGGGTTTATGGAAAATCCTTGCCTCCCACTGGGCTTTAACTGGGAGGGGAACTAAAATGAGAGATAAGCTAGCGGAGTGAAGGGACAAGTAACACACAATAGGGGACTGAGTCTCTTTCTCTCATCGTTGACTCTCCAGCAGGTTCTCAGAGGCTGTAAGTCGCACAGGGAGAGACTGCCCAACCTTCTCCCAAGGAGCAGCTGGAGAATTAGAACTACCTGCCTTTGGGTTAGCAGCTTACCACCAGAGCTCTCTAAACGGTTAATTAGACATTGTAATAAATGAACTATATTAATCAATGATAATTAATGCTATAAAGCAAAAAGTCTATGAATGATTGTATGAGAAATCCATATGCTTTGCAAACCTTCACTCAAATAATAAAACTAAGCAAAAAAATTAATAGGTAAGTTAGGTGAAGGGAAAGGCAATATGCAACAAGGGGGTTGACTGGACAGTCTAATTAATTACATTAATCAGTGGTAATTAATGTTATAAAATGTGTATGAACGAGCCAATGAAACAAATAATTACCATGTTATAAAACAAAATGTACATGAGTAAATAATTCATATGATTTATAAACTCTCAAATTTTTTAAATCCTCCAAATGGACATCCATTTGTATCCAGTATCATAACAAAAAGTTAAAAAATAACAACGTGAGATGGGCTTGCAGATTCTAAGACCACAGCCCTTCGTGCTGGCTCAGGATCCTTCCACCTGCCTGTACCTGAGCAGGAGTCGCAGGTGCTCTTGGTCCCCGATGACATCATACTTAAGCGAGAAGACCAGGTGGCCCAGCGCTGAGTCCAGTGAGTAGTAATTGAAATGCTCCTGTTGGCAGAGGTGGAAAGTGGGTGTAGGGGGAGAGGGTGAGCCTGAGTCTGGGGTTCCAGGAAACCAGATTTGAAAAGCCAAGCTGCTGTTAGATGGGGGTCGCTCAGTTTACAGCTGTGCAAGAGACAGGCCTGCCTGCATTCAAACTCCAGCCTTGCCACTTGCTGGCTGGGTGGCCTGGGGAGGTCACTTCACCTCTCTGTGCCTTGGTTTCTGAGTCTGTAAAGTGAGAGTGAGGTTCCTACCTTTCAGGATGGTGAAAGAGTCAGTAAGGGATAGAGTACCTGGCACAGAGTAGGTATCAATGAGCAGGTGTAATAATTCTGGCTCCTGGAGTTCCTCACCAAAGTCAAGGACCACACATGCACCTACACACCTGAGCTCTGGCCCTGATTCTTCTCACAGCAGTTGTTGTTACCACTGAGTCAGAACTAACCCCATACCTGACCCTCTAAGCAGGCTTTCAGAGGCTGTTAATTGCACAAAAGGAGACGGCCCATCCTTCTCCTGCAGAGCAGTTGGTAGATTCGAGCCAGATGCCTTCAGGATTGCAGTACAGTGTCTTACCACTAGGCCACCAGAGCTCCCTACACAGTAGGTGCTTAATAAAAGTCTGCTGATTGACTGCCAACCCTGTAACTGAAGCCAGGGCCCGTGAGAAACAGGACGTGAAACAGCTCATCAACGTACTGGGCAGCTGACTGGGCAGGTTTTCACCCTCCTCCCTCACCTGGAGAAGCAGCCAAAGGGTTGGGAAGGAATACCCCCCCAAGGGCATGGCATAGTGGGTAGCTGCCATAGGAATGGCACCCCCAGAGGAGCCCAGAGCTGGAACCTCCAGGAGGGGAAATCCCGGAAGCCAAGGGTTGTTGGTGCCAGGAGGTGCCACCCTAGCCTGGCCTTGGGCTCCCCTGCCCAGCCTGAACCCTGGGAGTGGAGCCTGCTCCCCAGCCCCGCCCACTCCAGGAATCATCCTGGAAGTGAATCCTGTTTAAACATGAACTCTAGTGTTTAGAGGATAGGAGGAGGGAGAGAAGGGTGGGCCAGTGGATATGTCCCACAGATTCATGGCTTAGGGAGGGGCATTCTGAATGGACGTGGGCTAGAGTCCCTGAGGTCTGCCTCTGAGTGATAGAGATACCCCAGACGCCTGTCACCAGCTACAAGGGGAGTGGCAGGCACTTGGTGAGGAGAGCTGCACCAAAGCCCTGATCCCACCAATGACTCCAGGTGGAATGGCCCCAGGAGTTTTCTCCAGTCAGGTTCCCCTAGACCCTCCATCTCGGACTAAAAGGAAGCCTAGGGACACAGCTGGAGGATGAGCTCAGGGCCCCAGGCAGTTATGCTCCAAGTCACTCTGGCCTTCTTCCTTGGCCAGCACATTTCCCAATGTTAGAATACTGGCTATTTCCTCACTCAATCCACCTGGAGTCAGGAACGGCCCTTGCCTCCCTGCTAGCCTCTGGGGTGGGTAGCCTCCACCCTGGAACCCACTTTCCTCTGTGCTGATAACTAGTTCCTGGTTACCACACCTCTTCCAGGAAGTTGTCCCTTCTTATCCTAGGTCATACCAATCCCGATAAAAATAAATAAATAAACAAGCTCTTGCTATGTGTTTGGGACACAGACCAGGCCCTGCCTTGAAAACTAGGCATTCTCAAACCCCTATCTGCACCACTTCAATTTATTTTGCACTCAATTTCCTTGCTCACTACTCCTTCAGTATACTTTTCAGAGAGTATCCCCCGGATACCAAGCCCACAGCACAGCCCTAGATGCCACCATGTTCTAGGCCCAGAAGAGCCTCTGGACAGTGGCCCTTTGCACCTTTCACAAAAACCAAAAAATAACCCTGACCTCATCGGGTAATTGAGAAGAGTAAATAGCAGCAGTTAACCTTTATCGGATGTTACATGGCTATTTACATGCTTTTTTTTTTTTTTACATTACAAAGCATGGCTATTTCTACATGCTTTACGTGTAATTTTACCCCATTTTCACAGATGAGGGAATAGACTGAGGAAAGGTAAACAATTCACCCAGGATCACTGTATTAAGAAATGGGGGGGAGGGAACAGGGAGAAAAGTGCAACAATGAATGAATGGAAATCCAAAGTCTCTGTACATTTTCATTAAAATTAATAATAATTAAAAAATTTTAAAATAAAATAAATAAATGAAAGAGCTGCTTCTCAGTCACAGCCAAACACCCTGAGGGAATGAGCTGCTGGTCCTAGAGTAACAGGACTATTATTTCTGGGGACATTAAGGTCAATTGGCGTAACTGAACCCACAAACATTCTGCATCCTACTTGAGCAACAGGAGTCTTAAAAAAGCTTCCACATATGTAAAGTGTACCTATGGCCTTGCTGGAGCTTACTAGTCTTTGGTCCTTTACTAAAGATTTTTCAGGGTTGGAGCCATCATGAGTTAAACGGCACAAAAACAACAACAACCAATTTTTTTTTGGGGGGGGAAGCTTCCACATATGTAAAGTGTACCTATGGCCTCGCTTTGTTCAGTACAAGAAGAGGGGAGAAAAGGCAAAGGCACATAGAAATACTTCATAGAGTTACAGGGCCATGAAAATCTCAATCTCCTTGACCCTGAGACCAGAAGAACTAGATGGTGCCCAGCTACCATTGCTGACCACTCTCAGAAGGAACATAATTGAAAATCCTGAAAAGAACGAGAGTAAAATGTGAATGAGAAATCAAAATCATAAAAATGGTCAGGCTTGTCAATCTGACAAAGACCGGTGGAACTCCCAAGACTCTGGCCTTAGTCACCTTTCAGCCTGGAACCCAACTCACTCCTTTGGCTCAGTTTTCATTTAAACAACAGATGGGCCTAGGAGGTGAACAAGAACACCAGGGAGACATTCGCTCCTTAGAACAATCAGCCACACAAGCACAAAAGGGTAACGTTTGCCCAAGGATAAAGCTTAGAAGGCAGGAAGCGGGAGGATAGCAGGATTCATAGAGACAAGAGTCACACAGAATTAGCAGAGAGAGTGCAGTTACAATATGGGTATTGTAACTGATGTCACAAAATGAAATGTATGAACAGTTAAATGGGAAATCAATTTGCTCAGTAAATATTCACTCACATCACATTTTTAAGAGAATTAAATGGAAGTGCCAAGGTTTGCATCCATGGCATGTGACTCCAGAACTCAATCAAGGACACTTCTCCACTTCATGGCACACCGGCATAAAGAGTCCACGTGGCATAGGGATCACATGCACTGGATTCTAGAATCTGGCCTCCACCACTGTGTACTGGGACCTCACTCTGGAACTTGTACCTGGAACACCCTGATACAGCACCCGAATGAACTGCCACTGCACAGAATCCCTGCCCTGGGGCTGGTGGTGGGTCAAGGGGCTGCATCAACCCAGGTCAAATCACAACATCAACTGTGTCCTTCCAGGCCCCACCACAAGTTGCCCCAGGCAGGCTCTAGATCTTTTCTATTGCTGGCTACCACGTATCTAGCCTATAAAAGGATCAGACACAGAGCTGGTGCTCTTATTTGCTACCGTGATCAAATGCTTATTTGTGCCAGATGCTTCATCTCATTGAAGCCTTATAGTTACCCCAAGAAGTGGGCACCATTATTATCTCCATTTCTAAAGCTGAGATAGAGGAGGCACAGAGAGGTAAAGGGATTCGCCTAATGCCCCCCTGTAGTAAGTGGCAGAGCCAGGATTCACATCCTGGTGGAATCCTTGCTATTAACTGTAAGTTTTGCAAATGCTTGCTGAACGAGTGAATGGCTCCACTAGACATGCTTCCAGAGATTTCAGGCTCAGGGACTGCCACCCAGGCCCAGTCAATAGGATTTGCTTTCTCCCAGGCCCACCCTCCTCCCAGCCCAGCAGGCCACCCACCTTGCCGAGAAAGTGCTTCCGGTAGATGCGTGCTGTGGGGTTGCACTCGAGCTTCACCTTGGTGGTGGGTGACTGCAGCGGCTCTGTCTCTGGAATGCTGGTGATTTCATGGTTGGTGCCTTCAATCCAGTAGCCCCCAAACTGGGGTAGCAGGATGAGGGGGAAGGGCCCTTCTCTCCCCAAGACCTGAAGGGGTGAACCTGGTTGAGAGCCACCTTATGCTACACCCCACTAGGACCCAGGACCACCCTCTCTCCAGATCTAGTGCCACTTTCCCACTGAAGGAAACCTGGAATGGTTAAGCACTTTTCAATGGAAAGGTTGGTGGTTGACCTACCAAATGACTCCTTAGGAGAAAAATCTGTTCCCATAAAGAAACAGCTTAGGAAATCCTATGGGGTACTTCTTTGTTGCATGAGGTTTCTATGATCTGAGATTGACCAAATGATATCTAACAAGGGGTACTGGGGAACACTAGGGCTGTGAATGAGGCCCAGGGTTCATATCCACATCCCTCCTTGAGAGGGTACTGGCTCCAGGCCTTTCCCTGCCACTGTAGGCACAGACATGGACACAGCGCCAAGCCCACAGCTCTGGCTGGAATGGGGATGGGAGGGGGCAGGCAAACTGAATCCCATCTCCCATAGCAAGGTCCACGGACGGGCTCCTGAGTGGGAAAGGCACACAGATATCCAGGGGCTTAGAGTGAGGGTGGGCTTGGGGTCCAGCTGGTTACCTCATGGACACTTGGGTAGGGAATGTAGTCCTCCTCCGTCTGTAAAACACAAGCAAGATAGAGCCCCACTGGGATCGCCCTCCACATCCCCGTCTCCCTACAGTGATGCCATCCACTCAATCAGCCACCTGGGCTGGGTGTAGGTGGCGCTGTGTCCTCAAGAGGCAACCCTGCAAGGCAGACACTGTGATGTTCTGCTCAGCTTCCTCTAGATCTTTCCAGACCAGAGGTTCTTGCTACATCAGACAAGCCTGGAAGAGCCTGCCAAAACACAGGTTGGATCTGACAGCACATTTGGGGGCAATCTGCTGTCAAAGACTTCTTTAAATTGCTAAAGAGTAAATTCATCAGTTTAAAGCCTAAAGGTGCACCTGATGCAAGCCATGGTATTTTCAACTGTTTCCTACGCATTTGAAAGTTGGACAATGAATAAGGAAGAAAATCAATGCCTTTGAATTGTGGTGGTGGTGGTGAAGAGTATAGAATATATTAAGGACCACCAACAGAACAAACGAATTTGTATTGGAGGGAATTTAAGCAGAAGGTCTTTGGAGGCAAGAATGGTGAAATGTGGTCTTACACTCTCTAGGCATACTGTGAGGAGGGGCCAGTCCTCGGAAAAAGAGGTCATGCTGGGAATGTTAGAGAGTCAGAGAAAGATAAGACTGCCTTCAACAAGATAGACTGACAAGTGACTACAACAATGGGCTTGAACATATCAGAGATCAAGACCATGGGCAAGGTTTGGCTCAACTATTCTAAGAGTTGTAGTTGACGTAAAGGCCTCTAACTACAATCTGACACACGGGTCTGGGTAGGCCTGAGAATGTGTATTTCTAACAAATTTCCTGGTGCTGCTGACGTAGAGAATCACTGTCCTGGACAATTCATCAGACCCACAAGGCCCTCTTTAACCCTCACCCCACTTCCCTGCGCCCAGCTGCTGACTTTCCAGGTTGTTGGGGTCCCACATACCTGAAACTATATGCCTGTCTGGACGGGTTGTGCACCTCCCCCGAGAAAACTGCGTCTTGAAGGAGCGCTTCCTCCAAGCCCTTCAGTCAGAATCTGCCTCCTGTCAGTCTTTGTAAGGTGCTCAGGGCAGCATCCCCTTTCCACAGCCCACTCACACCCTCCGCCCAGGTAGGAGGTACAAGAAACAGATGCAGCTCTAAGGCTCAGAGGTCTGGGGTTGAGTCTTCCAGCACTGCTGACCATAACTGGTTTTAGGAAACATGTTTGTGGCAGGCTGCCATTGGAGGGTTCAGGGCTTTGACTTTGGGGTGTAGATCTGGAAAGCTGGGTGAGCTAAGTGGGGGATGGGAGGGAGAAGATTGGAACAGAAGCTCTATCCGTAAAACAAGGAGAATCTGATCCTTTTCCCTATTCGCTGTTCCCTCCCCACACACCAGGTACCCATATTCTCCTATGGGGTGTGGTCCACAGGGATGGGCAGGGGGCCCCTGGTGCAGACCTACTTTGAGGGGTGGTGGGAATGAGCATCGTTGTTCATCCATCCTGCTTCCCTGCAAAGAGAAGGCAACATACTCCATCATCCCCTATGCCTGCTGCCAGGCGCTGTCTCCTCACCACAGGGTCACACCCCCTTGCGCATGGAAGGAAAAGCCTCAGGAGAGGCCTGCAGACGTGGGGTGCTCTCTGGAGCAGGGCGCTGGTCCTCCCCAAGGGGCAGCTGGCCTGGTACTGTCCTGAGCCATGAAGGCAGCTAGCCTGGGTGGGGGCTGGGCTCTGCGCCGGAATGCACGTGCTGCTGGGAGTGGGGGCGGGGGCGCTGCAGAGGCCTCTGTGAGTGGGGGGTGCACTGACTCTCCACAGATGTGTGTGGTTAAGAGAAAAAGGTGGAGACAGAAAGACTAAGAGAGGCAGAGAACAGGAGAGCAGCAGGGGGTTTGGAGTCAGCAGACATCAGGCAAAGCTCCTGAGGTTTGCTCCAGTCACCCCCACTCCTGTCACTGCACACCCACATCTATCACATTCACTGGTAAAGGTGAGAGAAAGGCTTTTAAGACCAGGACTAGGAATAGTGGGTAGGTAGGGGTCAAAGGAAGGGCTACAGCCCAGGATGTCAGGCTCACTAGCACCTCCTGCTGTCTCTAGCTGGCAGGGCGCTCTACATCTGACTACTTCCCGACCCACTCAAAATCAAAATAGGGATCCTTCAGAGCCTGTGATGCTTCCATGGGGGTAGTGTTTTGGAGTGGGCACTTGGACTGGGTCAAGAGCTGACTTTCAACCTTCCTGGGATGTATCGTGAATGCTGGGACGGGGTCTGAGGTATTAACTCCAGCCCTGCTGGGACCACAAAGGGACAGGAGCTGGGAAGCGCAGGCTGGGCCTAGGTCTGATGGGTAGCGGAGCTGGATGAGCCCCCTCTGCTACAGAGGACTTTGTGTAATACATTGCTGCCACTTGCTTGGGCATAGTATTCAGAGGTCCAAGGAGAGGGGCGGGGCAGGACTTGGAGCTCACGTCCCCTCACCCAGTCCAGCCCACTCTGGTTTTTCAGAATAAGGCACAGAGCCAGCCTCACCTGCATCTTTTCAATCATCTCAAACAGATCTGTGTTCTGCAACAGAGAAAGGGGGGAGTGAAAGGTCAGTCATGGGAGCAGCCTGGCTGGCCCTACTCAGGCCTGAGAGTCTCAGCCCACCCCAGCCCTCCTGCCCCCACACTCTGGTACTTGTCTGGGACAGTACGACAGAGTGGAGGGGGGCATCATGCGAGTGGGCTCTGTGCCTCAGACCCAGAGAGTTTGACTAATTATCAGGAGAAGTTAACCAGGCACCCAAGGCCTTTTTATGTCATCCAACCAGTTCGTCTCCTTCCTTGAGGAAGGAAGTGACTGTTCTGACACAGGAGGTCAAGACCCTTGGATTAAGAGCCAGGTCTGGATGCAAAAGCGGATCTCTCCCAGGCCAATGAAGGCTGGCAGCATTAGGATGGATACACAGACCCCTCATATGAACCCAATCCTCCTGCAGGGTTCCCTCTACGCCCTGGAAGAGGATGAGATCTTAGTGAACCCAGGCCATAGGCTCCTCACTGGAGCACAGTGATCTACCCAAACCCCAAAGCAGTGTGGGCTGTGGAGCTGCACAAGTGGAGCTCTGGAAGTTGCAGAAACGTCCCACTGGCCCAACACCTGTGTGTGAACCCCCACACACCCTCTCACTCAGCCAGCCTCTCCCTCACTGGCCAGGGCACATGCAGGGTTAATTCAGGCGTCTGCCAGCTGTGCTTGGCAGCATCAGCTTCTCCAGCGCCAACTCTCTCCGAGCCTTCCTGGAAGGCTGAATGGCATCCCTGACGGCTAGCAGGGCTGGGGGCTGGGCCCAGGGAGCCCCCCAGGGTGGTGCCCTTCCCCAACCCCCTCCAAGGCTTAACTCTGGGGCTCCTGCTGCCTTATGAGGCACCGCCCAAACTCATAAACATGTGCTGTGTGGACGTGCACCAGCAAACATCCCCCCAAACATACGTATGCTCACTGGTGTGCACATACACACACATGCCTGCATGCCAATAATTTAAACAATCTCACGACCATACATAGTATGTGTACCTAGAAAGCAACACACACACACAGCGTCTGTACTCGCCAATTCTTCAATTTAGAGCTATGTTAACACACAATAGTGCACACTTGTCTCAGGTATGCCTCCCAAGTGTCCACAAAACGGCTTAAGAGCTACACACACACACACATACACACCCACACCAGCTCAGGAGTCATGAGAGCCAGCCACATACACAGATACAAACCCACTCCTGTACAGGTCTGTGAATCAATAATTACACATGAAGCTACACAAACACCATAAAACCATTCACGTAGGCGCATCAAGAGATATGACAGACACTCGGAACCACAGGCAGGTGTGTGCACAGGAACTGAGACGCAGAGACCTACACAATCACATATACAGCTTCCCCTTCACCATCAGTGTCACACTCTGGTGAAACAGATCCAGCAACACTGCAGGAGAATTTAAGGGAAAAAGCATACTATAGGTGTGGTTAATCACCAAAAATGAGGGGCATAGGTCTGAATTTCCTATACCCTGTACATGCGGAAGTACACATCTCTCACACACATACACACCCATGTGTACACTCTGAAGCCTGTCCACAGGGGCAAAACCCATCCTGGGAAAGCCCATGACTGGTATCCACAGGTGATCCTGACCATCAGTTACAGATGATCCCAATTCACACCACTGAGAATCAATTCCACGGGCAACTGCAGCAGAAACCACAGACACACACTTGCAGCCCAGGTAAACAAACACACCTGTCAACCCAACACACTGTGCAACAGCAACGCTGGCCTTTACAAGCCAGGTCAGCCCCTCTGCCTCAACCCAGATCCCAGGGAGACACAGTGACTATGGGTGCATTCACAGCCTCACGCAGGGCGACTGAATGCAGCCCGCAGCGACGGCATAGGCCCTGTTGCACTGCGACTCACAGCCACATAAACACTGACACATGGTACTGTCACCCACAGTGTACACACAGCAACAAGTAACACCCACAGTTACAGCCTAACAGGGAGCAGCAGACGCCCTGACACATGGCAAAGCTGTGAGTGAGGTGGCCCAGATGGGGGTATCCCTGCCATGGCAAGCACCCAAAGTTACACTGTGGCCCTAAGACTCCCCATAAAGGGCGCTGGGAAGGAGTAAGTGGTCCCCAGGGCAGTGCAGTGCTTGTCAGCACATACACATTAAACACATTCGCTCTCTTTTTCTCTCACAGGATGTCCTACTGTATCCCAGAACCACAGAGTCACCACAGGCATTCTGTCCCACGGGCATCTGGAAAAAGAACCCCAAAGTCCGAGACCCCATGGGAGGGGTAAGCCCTGCGGCTGTCGCGGCCGGGTGTCAACCCAGAAGCTAACACACCCACCATGACGAGCTTCGCACACCGCCCTGTCTCGGGCAGAGACTGCTGGGCTACGAAAAAGTCAGGCAGCCCGGGACCCAGGGCGCCCCCTCGACCAGGCCGCCCCCCCCC